AAGCCGATGTGTGGGCCGATCCCAGTTGGTTAGTGGCACGCACTGTGTATTCTCCTGAGTCTAAGGCGGTCGCGTGGATTATATCCAAGGCGACGAAGCCGAAGTCGTAGTACGTTCGGAATCGAGAACCGACTGTTATCGGTTTTCCGTTGCAGAACCAATCGACTCGCATTGTGGGATCGCCCATTGGTTCCAATCGGCACTCCAAGTGAATATTTCGGCCCTCGGAGAGTGGCTGTGGATCAGATAGTGGCACGACAAAGATCGGTTTTGATTTACACAATTCTTCAATTTGATATTCGGGTTCTACATGTGGAGGCCTCTCCATGCGTTGCGTTTTTTCGTACGCGGTCCTGTGCATGCTTCTTGTGTCAATGCTGGCGCGTGCTGTAATTAAAAGGGGTAGAGTTAAACAATTTGTTAAATTTGACGACCCACATGGTAGAAGCTGAAGACGAGAAAGTGGATACTTACTTTCCACCACCATGCTGGCGGAGAGTTGAGCTTCACCCAGCGCGTTTCTAGCGACAACAGTATAGGTGCCGCTGTCCTCGCCTCTCACGCTGAGAATATCCAAGGCGACATAGCCAAAGTCATGGTAGGTTTGTATGCGATTGGCACTCTCGATTAACTTTCCATTGAAGTACCAATCCAACTTCATGGTCGAGTCGTTTTGCGGTTCAACTCGCGCTTCGAAATGAGCGCGTTGTCCCTCGACGATTTTGTTCGTCCCTTTCAGCGGCCCCAAAAACCTAGGCTTTTGCGTGACCGTAACCTCCTCGTCCATTTTGCGAGTGTACCGTGTCGAGTCCTCCAAGTGCTGTATCTTTTGCAATCCGCCGGGATGTTGGGAATCGACGATTATATCCTTCTTGCTGACAACGCTAAGTTGCGCGGTGGTAGCCGCTTCGCCTAAAGCGTTGTAGGCGCGGCAGGTGTAGTTGCCGACATCGTGAATGGTGACGGCCTTGATCGTCAAGGCGACGTAACCAAAGTTGAAAAATGTCGTCATTCTCGAGCTCGCCTCTACCGGTCGTCCATCCTTTAACCATTCAACTTTCAACGTGCTGTCACCGGTGGGTTCCAGCCGCGCTTCAAAGTGTGCGAAACCGCCCTCGCGTATTCCGTGCTGGTCTTTGATCGGCGTTTTAAACTCGGGCGGTTGGGAACTCTCGGGAGTTTCCTGAACGTACTTGTGGTGCTGTTGCTGCTGGTACGCTTCCAGCTCGCCCACCTTCTCAATGTACCTTTGTTGTTCTGGTATTCCCAAGTCGCTTGTGACCGTTGAGCGCACGATCACTTGCAAGTTTGCATTACTGATAGCCTCTCCCATACGATTCACTGCCCTCACCGTGTAAGTTCCGGCATCTTCGGCACGTAGGTGCATTATATTTAGGGAAACGTAACCGAAGTTGAATATGGTCGAAATTCTGGAACTGGCCGTGATCGGTCTTCCATCCTTGTACCACTCCACTTTCATCGTCGGGTCGCTCACTGGTGTTAATTGCGCTTCGAAGTGCGCGTTTCGTCCTTCCTGGAGAGCGCCCTGATCTTGGAGTGGACGGATGAAGTGCGGTTTCTGCGATGAAGTCTCTTCGAGGCTATCGGTCCTTTGGTACTTTGAGTAGTCTTCGAGTTGTTGAATGTACTGTAGGCTGTCGGGGTGCTGACTCGTACGTTCGATTGAAGCGCGCGCGGTCACGCCGAGTGTGGCACGTGATTCCGTGGAACCTGTAGCGCTGGTTACACGGCAGACGTATTCGCCACTATCACGCATAGTAATACTGAGCAAGTCAAGCGCTATAAATCCAAAGCGGAAAATTGTTGTCGCGCGGGAGCCTAAAATCATACAATGCAATTTCGCGCCCTACTAACTGGTCGTAATACTCACTTGCTTCCAATGATTTTCCGTTGACAAACCACTCCACGCGCATCGTAGGATCACCTACAGGTTCGATTCTTGCTTCGAAGTGAACCTTTCCACCTTCCAGTTGCATTACGTCGCGCAAGGGAATGATAAATTGCGGAGGTGGATATACCCGGTCCTCTTCCGCCCTGGGATAGTAAGGTTGAGCGGGCTCGATGTGTTTGAGGTAGATCACCTCAGGACCAGGTTCGGGTCTACACAGAAAACAGTGAGCGAAATTCGTTTCAAAGTGCGCGTATACTTACTCAGGTTCAATAACTTTAGTCGGTCGGGGAAGATGTAGACGCCAAGGTTCCGACATAGGTCCTTGGGGTACTTCGACGAACAGACGTGCTCGTGTTGCAGTGGACCCGGCGACATTCTGAGCGGTGCACTGATACCATGCAGCATCCGACGCCTTGGCTCGCGAAATGTCCAATGTCGAGGATCCACTGTTGTCCGTCGTAATTCGTATTTCGTGACTTGGAGTTAATGGCACACCATCCTTCTGCCAAGTGATTCGTGGGGCAGGAGTTCCTACAGCTCTAGCGTGCAGAACTACCGGTTCCCCTTCTTTTACGCTAGTCGTGGTAAATCGTTCTACAAATTTCGGAGCAACGACCTGCTCCTTTTCAATAACATTCAGATTGCACTGGAAAGAGGTCTCTCCAGACTTGTTTGTGGCAACGCAAGTTACTATTCCGGAATCGTTACGTCCAACACTCGTAATCATAAGTGCGTGGTTACCAGACTCGTTTACGAGTATTTTGTGATTGTGATCATCAGTTACCTTGCGCCCGTTGATTAACCAAGTAACCTCAGGATAGGGACGCCCTGTAACTCTGCAGTCGAAACGTGTCATTTTACCTTCTGTAATATCCCGATCACCGCACACTCGTACAAAGTTAGGTGCAAGAGTCTTGGCCGTCTCCGACGGCTCCTCAATTTGGTGCACTGGGAATGTCGCATCGTGCACTAAACCTTCTTGGGTGGTTACTGGTTCGATAGCCAAATACGCCGAGGATACAATGCACCCTTGGGGATTCTCGGCTAATAGCGTGTAATGCCCGGAGTCTTCCGATTGGGCTTGTTTCACCCGAAGTGTTGCTTGATTGTTGGAGTAACTGGATTCGTATTTATTGGACTGCGTGATTCTTTGGCCGTTTCGGAACCAAGTCAAGCGCGGTCTGGGATTTGCGGCAACTTTTGCACTGAACACTGCATCGGATCCCTCCAACAACTTTGAGTTGCGAGGCTTTTGAGTTATTTGTGGCGGAGCTGGTGGACCTAACGATCTTTCCACCGTGGTCGATACGTGCACGTCGGTTTCACTTGCGTGCCTTCTAGTGATGGATTCTCGAAATGACACCTCGCGCAGAAGACGATATTCAAATGTATCTATTTTAAATTCCTGCTCCGTGCCGTTGGTGTAGAAAGAAGATTCTTGGTGCTTTTGGTATGTGGTACCGTGCGCAGTGCTGGTGGTCTTATGTTCGGAAGTTTTGAAGGTTTGTGTTTTCTGGGTACCTTGCTGAGCCATCGGGAAACCTTCGGGTTGAATATAGACGGAGCAAACCGCCTCTCCGTATTGGTTTCTTGCGGAACACGTGTATTCTCCTTCATCTCCGGGCCCGATTTGATAAATGGCCAAAGTGATGTCGCCAGTTTGATCGTTGTAGGAGATGCGATATTTGGATGAATCTCTCATTTGGGCTCCTTTGCGGGTCCACACGACTGTCGGTTGGGGTTTTCCAGTAACGCGACCGTCAAAGGTGGCATTACCACCTTGGGCGAATCTTGCGTTTTGGAAAACCTTTTCAAACATCGGTGGCGCTGCATTTGGACCAAATCCAATTTGTTGCAAACCAGCTTGATCTATCATGTGTTGCCCGGATACCTGCATGTGTCCTTCTTGAACTGTAAAAAAATAAAAAAATTAACATAACGCGCAAATTGAAGGTTAGTATATAGACATATCAACGCAAATCTCAAGTTTTGTTCGCGTTGTGTCTGGAATTGTTAAGGAACTTCATTATGCAACCCTTTGATTTTTAAGATAAATACAAAAAACCAATTGGCCGAATTGGTTTATTTAAAAAAATGATCTTTTGAAACATTTGTGCAACGCCAAATCCAAAATTTATATTTCAGTTTAAAAATATGCACCGGCTCAGCAGGTGATTTCCATTTCCCTTAAGTTTCTGAGTTTAGAACACCCATAATGTTGATGGCGAAGTGTGAAAAAATCATACAAACATGATGGAGAACCTTTTTTGATACATACAAAAAATTCATGTATGGAAATTCCATATGTATCGAAGCTATATTGAAAAGAGATTTTTTGAAATTCGTGATTCATTAAAATTAAAGTTTATAAAATTTTTTAAAATTTGTATTGGAATACACAAAAAATTGAAAAAAAAACAAAATCTAACTTAAAATCATATTATGTGAATCGGACAAAAAAAAGAAACAATGGAAGCAACCTTTTTGATAATACTTTCTTTATTTTTGAAGTTATTTAATTAAATATCCGTTAAATATTCAACAAATGGGTCGTTGACATTCCCGGAACAGATTTAGGCAAAGAGGCATTCGTAAACACAGGATCAAGAAAGACATTTCCAACTTTCAAAATATTGCTTGCTAACTTAAAAAATAAAATTAATCCAAAAGTAAAAAAGTCAACACAAAAAACTTAAATACATAAAGATGATTTAGTGAAACAAATTTTTTTAAATTTATAAGTTAAATTAAAATCTCATTTTAATGAGTTTATCAAAAATAGCTTCAAAGAAAAGCATTGGGATAATTGCCTTTGGCAAATATACCACAGACCTATGCAAAGCGATTAAAATAAATCAAAAAACTCCAATCAATGCTTTTAAGATTGCTTGAGTATTTTCAAAAACTAAAATTTAACTTAAAAACATAAATTAACAAGATATTTAACAAAAGTATTTTGAAAAAAATGTACCAAGTTTTTTCAAGATTTACATTCAAAAAACTCAGTATTTTACATATTTTTGGCTGGGCCATTTTTTAAAATAATTTATTTATTTATTTTTGGCCTTATTTTAAGGATAGCTCGAACTTAAATCCTTGACTACTAACTGAAAAAAAAAAGTTTTAAAATAAGACAAAGGGATAGATGGCACTTTTTTGCGCATTGAATTTTTTTTATCTCCATTAAAAAATCTCAAGAATACTGTAAAAAAATTTAAATGAAAAATTACATATTTAGAATTAAAAGTTGCTTGATAGTTTTATTTAAAATCATTGGAGATTAAGTTCATAATCAATCCTAAAACTGATTCAAAAAAGCGCATAACACTTTCAAAACTCAACTGATTTAAGGGACCGCATACTGAAGAAATTTTCCCAAATTAACTTCAGTTGAAGCTCTTTTAAAGTGTAACCTTGATATTTTAACAAAATGTTTACGAATTGGTATTGAAATATAAAACTCATCCTAAAGAAACGCGTGATACATTTTAGTAACTAATTCAAGCAAACCAATTTTAAAGCTATAGGCATATTTGTTTGTATTTACACTAAAAAGAATTTAAATAGGTAGCGAACGGGGTACTGAATTTTTTGAACAGAAAATTTAAAAAACCAGTCGTTTGATTATTAAAAAAATATATATAATTTAAAATCAAATCTTAACAACGAATTGAAACAAACAAATTTTAAATAAAGATATGGGCCAAGTTTTTTGAAAACAAAGTTTCGGTATCTGCATAACAAAATTTTTTTTAATCATCTTTGGGCGAATTTATAAATTGTTAATGAAAGGGATTTTGAGATTTTTGGAACCGACCTAAAAAAGTGCGATTTGGGAAAATAAATTTAAAAATCAAACTTACATTGCCCAAAAGACTACTTTTTGATTTTTGAATTTAAAATCAAACGACTATTTAAATAAAATTTATGAGAAGTGTTACCGAGTTTTTGGGAAATAGAGATCTATACAAAGACATTTTTTTAATAAATTAAAAAAGAACGGATCAATTTTAAATTTTTTAAAAAATTAAACCATTACACATTTAGAACTATTTTTTTAAAAATTCCAAAAAATTGAAAAATCGAAGAATGGTTTATTCTGCTGATTTTTACAAAACAAGACCTGGTATACAGTCATAATCATAATAATGAATATAACAAAATTCCTAAAAGCGTAAAAGCATAGTTTTTTTTGAATTAATTCAATTGGTCCATGGTCTTTTTCGAAACTACTAAAAATGAGTTATTCCTATCTTTAATTTTTGCCTCATAACAAATAGGAGGATGAAATTTGCCTAGATTTTAGGTATGCTCTTTTTGTTTTGTTTTGCAAAAATGTTTTCAAAATTCTTATACCACGAAGATGAAAAAAAAGTTGGACGAAATTTCGTATCTGATGCCTTCTCGATATAATACAAAAGCGTGTCTCCACCAAATTTCTTGATATTATACAGGGTGTTGCAATGGTACGTCGGTCTTTACTAGCTCATACCTGGTAAAAAAAATAAAAAAACACCTTTTGTGCAAATGTCAACTGTAGATGGTTGCGCATCTACAGAAATTACATGTCCCATTTTTACGGTGTCAATAAATAACTGATTTAAAAAAAAATATAACACCCTGTATATTTTTACTTGTTTCCTGTTAAATTTTTGGTTTTTTGTTAACGTTGCCATCTTATTCATGATCAAATGTATTTCTTAACTTCAGAATCAAGGTAGTGAGGCTTACTTATGATTGCAAAGTTGACAAAAAACCAAAAACTTAACAGGAAACGAGTAAAAATATACAGGGTGTTCTATTTTTTAAAAATCAGTTATATATTGACACTTATTGACAATAGATTTGCAAGGAGAGGTTACTAAATGACATGGAAATGAGTACAAATATAGTGTTCTATTAAAAAAAAGTTTATTGACACCGTAAAAATGGGACCCCCTGTACATTCCAAAATAATTTCTGTAGATACGCAATCATAGATAGTTGACGTTTTCACTAAATGTTTTTTATCAGGTACGAGCTAAGAAAGACCGATGCACTGTTGCAGGCCCTGTATATGACCCGACTAAGAAACTGAAAAAAAAACGCAATTATTCTGTTTACAATCTTTGGTGCAGACATAAACAAAGTAATTAAAAAAAACAGAAGATCAATATTTTTTGTTCAGTTTTCAAAAGGACACTAAACTGAATCAACATTGGTTGTAGAAAGTGACTAAAACAACTATTTTTTCTAAATAAACCGGATCGTTTGGAACCTACCCCTCCAAAAAATCTCAAACTTTGCTTTTCATCTTTAATTTTTACCATAACATATAGGATGATGAAGGGAAGGTTTTTGGAAATGCTCTTTTCGTTTTTGTAAAAATATTTTCTAAAAAAACAATACATTTTGGACCTGTAATCTAATTATTAAAATGTTTCTTTTGGTGCTTTTCTATCCAATTTCTTTGACAAGAGGCACTTAAAAAATACCTTTTCAGGTCAAACGATTAAAAAAAATTCAATTCAAAATTTACAAAAAATTGGCATAAGTTGAACTGTGCTAAAAATTGAAAAAAAATGCACATTTTTTAGATAATAAACACGAATTGAACTGAATAATTACCAAGTTTGCACTACAAAAATTAAAATTAATTAAAACGCCGCTTTTGTTTCAGTTGCTAATTAAAATTATGAAAAACATTTTAGAAAATTGGAATTGGCGCCAATTCAAAACGTTCAAAATGTTAAATATTTCAAGTATGTATTTAAAAAACAGGATTTTTTAAAAAGTAGGTAATTACTAATTAGCTATTTCACCTTGATATCAAGTAAGAGGAAAATTTGGATTCAAAAATTATTTTGATGCTCCCAAATGCAAGAGAAATGCAGGGGTGAAACAGGGTTGTCATTTGAAGGGGCAGGAGAGGGCCCTCGCCCCCGCTAAGGTATTAAAAAAATCATCAAAATACGCACGTATGGAAAGTATTCGCTTACATTACTACATAAAAAATGATGGTTATGACTCATCAAGGCAAATTTAATGTAGATGGCTTTTCAAAAGGTCTTTTAAATGTGAATTTTTCAAATTGAAAAAAGGGCGCAAATGCTGTACCGAAAATAGGCGTCAGAACTTTAGGAGCAATATTTGGTAATAGGTATACAGCTTTCCAACCACCAATTTCTAGTGTTTTTATGGACTTCAATGACATCACAGGTATAGGACTAAAAGTTTGAGTTTTTGTCTTTCATAAGTGACAAAAATTGAAAACAAATTATAATTGATAAACATACAACAAAACCTCCTGAAGTTTTAAAAAAAGAATCATTCGACAGTAATTTTTGGATAGTGAAAAAATCGAGGGAAAAATTTATCTATTGAAAGTTCGGCAATCAGTGGCCAAATGATACAGATGAAAAATATTAAAAATGTGTTGTTGATTGTTTCGGGAAATTATTTTTAACCGGTGACTTCAAATTTCTGCTGGCTTGGCTAATTCCTCAAATTAAAAATACGAAAAGATTTTGATAAAAATCGCCTTCTGTTCCAAAATCCGTTCATGTCACGCAATTACATTTTGTCACTAAGTACAGAACCCCAAAATAACGGGAGAATGTAGGTAGATATTCGGCATACTTTCCTCGACGGTATGGGGGTTCGACGCGTTCTATTTTCGTTCTTGGATCGTGTTACCGCCGGCCATTTTTGGAGCAGCTATCTTTATCTCACCAATAAAATCTGAATTTCAGATGTGACATGCGGCGCGCGATTGTGGATGAGATTGTGATTAATTTTTGTAAAGCTTCCCGTCGTAATTAATGCGCAATAAATAGTTGGGTTGATGCTTTTCTTTTTGGTTAATTGACAAGTTGCAAAATTTATTGGGATACTTTTGGCACGTGATGGTCAACAGGGTTTTAATTACTTTCCATTTGGACCATGGTCGAAAAAAATGCTAATGAACCGGGAATTTAATTTAATTTATAAATACGATATTGTTAACTGGATACATTTTTTTGGCACTCAAATTGAAGAGAGTTTTGGTTTATTTTAGAGGATGACTGCCAAAACGACTAATGTAATTTGGGGGCGAAAGAGGTCGGCGGTTAGAATTTTTGAGGAAGACAAGGCAAAAATGAGTAATTCTTAAATTTAGCGGAAGGGAGCGTTTTGGCAATTAGTTTAGTAGTCATCTTCTATTTATATTAAACACTGCAATAAGAAAACTTTACCATACAAGGAAAGTAGGGCAGTTTTTTGGAGATGGCTAACCTGTTTGATGGGTGGTGAACTGTCGAGTCTCCGTACGGCTCATTCTTTGCTGTTGAGTTTGACTTTGCTGAATCTGACTTTGCTGAGTCATTTGCTGACTCTGCTGTTGCTGTTGCTGTCGATGATGCATGTTAACCACAAAAATCTCACAAAAACAAAGCGAAAATTATAATGAGAAAAGCACAATCACTACACAAACACGAAAGAAAATTGTTCGTATAAATTAATTAAAAGTTCCTCTCTATCACTATTCGATTGCTTCCACGACTTCATTTAGCAGAAGTCAAGTTATCATCCCCGATTTGGTATTATCACCAAGACGTCGGTCGTTTGCGAATTGCGAGCGTAGAATGTTTTAAAAATCTCCCGCATCGGGACCTGCAGCACCTCGTTGGAGGGGCCTTCAGGACGAACGAACGTCGGCGTATCTATTTAAAGATCCATGCTATACGATACAGCTGCCGATTATTATGCTTCGACACCGTCCGACTTATTTACATTGTATAGAAATTATCCCATTACACATTATCGAATTTACGAAAATTTCTCGAATTTCGCGTTCGAATGCGAGCGAAACGAAAAATCGGCGTTGCAACGCCGCTGTTGCGGACGGAGTTTGTGCGCAGCAACGACTTAAAATTTGGCACGAAATATGAACACAATAAATAATTTGGAATGGGATGTGAACAATGTCTGCAATTTTTAAGATGATCTTTCCAGTTCAAAAATCATTCCACTCTATTTTTACACGCCAGATTTGTTTTACCTGCGCGAAATTGTTAAGGAAAGGCGTGAAAGAAGCGCCAACCACATGACAGTATTTGACAACATCTATTTTGATACACAACAAAAAAATTAGATAAACAAGCGGATATGCTTGCTAAATGATCTGGCGAATGATGTGCGACCTACGAGTTCGTGTGAGCTCTACGTGTCATGAATGAATCAGGGGCTTATAGAAATTGTTGCAGTCTGCCCTACTCTTAAATTTCCCAGATTTGTGAAAGTTAAAAACATGTTTTAAAACAACATGATATATAGAGTGTTCAAAAAAAATGGGACGATAGAGGCGACAAAAGCAAATATTTACTTTATTCAAATAAGCCGAATGTTTTGTTTGGAAACTACCCCTAAAAAGCAGTTTATATTAATTTTTTCTCGAGACTGATGGCACGTCTTTGGATAGGATATAGAGTGTGCGTCAGATCCCAGATTACGAAAAAAAATTCCTACCGTAAACTGGGATGAGAAAAACTCGAATTTCGACGAAATTTCGTTATTTCTTAGTCTGGTATCATGAACATGCTGTATCTGCAATTAGGTTTTTCATTTCGGGAAGATTTGCAACGACTGATTTGGAATTATCACTCGCAAAATGAACACTTTACTTTGGCTGACTTACTAAGGGACGCGCGGGAAAATTTTGATTTTGATAAGGGGAAAACTACTTTATATGACATTCTAAAATCCATAGGTTATAAATACAAACATAAATGGACGTAAAATTCTCTGTGAACAGAAACATCCAAAATTACATTTTTGAGGAAATTCTTGCAATACCAAAATTCATGTGAAAATATAACATTCGTATATCTGGGCGAAACTTGGATCCATTGTCCGAAAATGGGTACACGATTCTGAAATTAAAAGTAATCCGTCTAAAATTAAATCAGAAGGGGAGCGTTTTACTGTTTTGCATGCGGCGTCTTGTTTTGGATTTTTGGAAGGGTGTAATTTATTACAAACGTCAAATAGTAACGATAAGGATTATCACAAAACTATGAACGGGGAGATTTTTCAAAATTGGGTGGTTAATCAATTACTTCCTGCTCTGAACAAAATTCAAGGTAAATGTGTGGTGATCTTGGACAATGCACCGTATCATTCGGTGCAGTTGGAAAAATTACCCTCACGTAATTGGAAAAAGGATCAGATGCAGGATTAAACACAATGTCAAAATTGAGGGCAAAATTACCAAAAATTATCTTTGTGGAGTTTAATTGAACCTTTTAGGAAAGACAATAACAAACGTTACGTGACTGACGAATTTTTTAAAGAGAATGGGCACGAAGTTTGTAGATTGCCTCCGTACCATTGCCAGTACAATCCTATTGAAATGGCATGGGGGTCTGTAAAACTTACTACAACAAGCGTATAAATTCTCAGCTTTCATCCAAGGATAAGGTTAAAAATTTATGGCTTGAAGCTCTTTCAAATTGTACTTCTGACATATGGCAAAATGTTTGTAATCATTGTGAAAAACTAATTTCGGAAGATGTCCATGAACCTAGCAGAGCAAGGTCAGCAGAACACAATCAAACATATTGCATAATTAGGTGCTAATTAAGTGCCCTATTCCCGAATTAAATGCTTATTTTTTTAAAAAATTATGTTTTTCCAGGTTCATATGAACTCCGCAGAACACTACCTCAAAAAACCAAGAAAATGAAAAGTGAACTAACTATAATTAGGTGCTAATTAGGTGCTAATTAAGTGCCCTATCCCCGAATTAGATGCTCCTTTCTTTTAAAAAATTATTACATGTTCTGCCAGGTTCATATGAACTCAGCAGAGCACTACCTTAAAAACCCAAGAAAATGAAAAGTGAACTAACTAATAATTAGGTTTTATCTTAATTGTCAAGTATCATATAGCATCCTACGTCCCTTGCCCGTGCTACGCTTGCACTTTTCATAATTCAACGCACAATATAGCAATTTTGTTTTCGAAGTACGCCTTTGTAAAATTTGTACGAACAATTTTTGTAACTTTTTGCGTTTAAAGCAATTAATTAGCACCAAATCAAGAACACTTAAAGACGTATTTGTTTTAGTAAACACAGTGCCTGTCTGCTTAAATCATGTAAATAGTAAAAGTAAAAATAAAAAAAAGGAAGAGCACAGAATTTGAAAACAGGTCACTTAATTAGCAGCTAATCAGCACCTAATTATTAGTTAGTTCACTTTTAATTTTCTTGGGTTTTTAAGGTAAAATGCTGAGTTCATATGAACCTGGCAAAACATGTAATAATTTAAAAAAAGAGGAGCATTTAATTCGGGAATAGGGCACTTAATTAGCACCTAATTACCCAATATGTCTGATTGTGTTCTACTGACCTTGCTCTGCTAGGTTCATGGACATGTGTTAAATAAATGGGAAATATTTCGTTTGAAAACATCCACCTTTCATTATTTCAATGGAGGAATCTGAGTTAGAATCAGGTATTGATAATGATTCAGTTACTTCCAATTAAACAATGGTCGTGGAATAGAGGGGTTTTGGCATCAAAATTTTTGTTTATGACATGGCAAATGAATGGGAACACCAAACTCTTCAAAGTTCCAGAATTTAAGGAAAGATTCAAGGATTTTATCCAGAAAGAACTAGAGGTCACCACATAACAAGCTGGGACATGGAAAGGAATCACAATCCTCACCACGAACTCAGCAGGGGAAACACCAGTTAACACCCTGAAGAAGAAACAGTAAGCTACCCGCTGGAAATAAGATTAACAGAAATGTACTAAATCATCAAACAGCACAGACGGAAAACAAAAGACCCAAGGAAGAACATTCCAATGGCACCGTGGAAGCAAGAACTACACTCAAGCACAGTTAGGTATCAATGCGGTTGTTGAGGGCATCTCGGGTATGATGGTACTGACTTATCGAGCAGTGGTTATCTTCTGAGAATCTACACCACACATCTCCCAAAGCTGATCCAGCCCCAGACTAAAGCTGCTCGAAGTTTAGACCAGCATATCGGCATCTAAATCTGGCAACTAGATTTTGCACATTGACAGGAAATTATCACTTTGTATACATTTTGTTATTAAAGTTTGCTTTTAAAAAATGTGAGAAGACTTTCTTAAACCTACAAATAAATATCCAACTTCGCTGAATTGGGTACGCATTTTTGTGGAATCAAAAATTTTTCGTACCAAAGAACCGAAACCGAGCCGCCCGAGTGGAAGCCAATTTTGTGGAACAGGCACATTAAATCGTAACTCAACTAAGTTTATTTTGAGAGGTAGGGGCACTTAAGCGACGCATGCCCAACGTGGAAGCAGTTACTCTCTGTAAGTGCCTGTGGTAAAAGTTGCTCCTTATGTCTCGTATAGTGATCGAAATGCCGCATATCCGATATTGGTTTACTGTGTATGCATGCATGTAGTTCAGGCAAGATACTTGCTATATATATTGTTATGCGGATAGCACCTACGGTAATGTTAGGTCACTCTGTACGTGTTTTTAACCCTAATCCGGTTAACGTGTGTCCATCGGACACATTTTCCATTTCTGATAATCATATATTTATTTCTGTAGGACCTATACCCAAATGTCTTTACGACTTCCTCCACCTACAGATATGTTACAAAAATACCAACCTTGATTATGAATTGCGATTATAGTTTTTAAAAAATCTTACTTTTAAAATAATTTTACTTTATCCGGTCAACGTGTGTCTATTGGACACTTGGTCTTAACACTTTGAGAAGCGAGCGTTTGTGGTGTTACAAAGCGTTTGTTTGTTTTGTGAAAAGGTGCTTACGTGTTTGTTTATAATAATATTACATATTTTTATGTGTACCGGAAGTGTGCTACTACTAAGGTAAGGTTTGTTACTACATAAACCGTTTTACGGAATATCACGAAAGTTACAAAATTTGTTGTGTGATTTATAACCTCATTGTTTTTCAATTTGCGCTTCTGATGATTTTATTTATTAGATGTGAGAACGTGGTGATAAATTTTTTTTTTCTACCGTTCGTTACATCTTTTCAAACAAATAATAATTGAATGATATTACCTTATTTTAGAAATGGATGCCGATCAAAATAGACCGCTCAGTGATAAAGAGTTGCGAGAAATAGTTGCGAATTTGGCCAACAACATTTCAGACAGCGACCATGAATCAGAACTTGATATAGAAGACTCTACTGATGAAGAAAGTAATCACGAAAGCATAGCGTCCGAAGAAGATGATCTACAATCAGAATCTGAGAACGAAGAGAGTGATGCCTTACTCATAGAAGAAGAGTCGGAAATCTTTACTGCAAAGGATGCAACTGTGTGGTCTTCATCTCCCTTGCCAACAGGTCGCGTTCGTTCTACCAATATTCTCAAAGGCGCTGTAAATAAAGTGATATTGCCTCCTGGAAAGATACTTGAAGAACCATTAGATTCGTTTCTCCTCTATATGGATGATTCCATAATTGCCGATATTGTAAGGTTTACTAATAAGGAGGGAAATCGTGTCCGTGAATCCAAACCTAATCTCAAGTGGAAAGATTGTGACATTATTGAAATGAAGGCCTTCTTCGGACTATTGATTACAGCAGGTCATTTGAAACAAAATCATACCAGCTATGAAGTTC